CAAGACTTGGGACAAGTGACTTCTCTGCATGACTCGTTGACAGCCTGACTAGCTCCCTGCCTTACTCCGTCTCTTCCTCACAAGGTCTCTGCCGGAATCGTTCTCTGCCTCACACTCTCTATAGGACGTCTATGCCTCACCCGGTCTCCGCCGGAACCGTTGCTTACGACGACGCGCAAGTAACAGGGCCATACAGAGACCGGATGCCTTTGTACTGCAGAGTCCCCATCAGTCAGTGAGCTGGTTCGCCAGAGACAGGCTACGTTAGAAAACGTGTCTGGCAGATATCTGTGGGGGAACATTTTGATGAAATTTTTCGAAATTTTCAACAAATCGAAAAATGCTGGAAATCTTCCAATTGACGCACAAAACCAAAAAATGTTTGAAAATTTTCATTTAATTTTTTTTTGGAATTTTTGAAAATTCTTGGTTTTGTGCGCGTTTTAGACAATTTCCTTCATTTTTTGTTTTTTCGAAAATTTTCAAAAATTCTCAAAATTCCCCACACCGGAACTTCAGTAAAACAGCTTTCTGCTATAACTCTTCTCCATCACAGCACGTCTCTGCATGACTCGTTGACATCGTCACCAGCTCCTTGCCTTACACAGTCTCTGCCTCACCCGGTCTCCGCCGGAAGCGTTGCTTGCAACGACGACGCGTAAGAAACAGGGCCATAGAGAGACCGGATGGTCTAGAGACTGTGTACAGCACAGTCCCTGTCAGTCAGTGAACGGGTTCGCCAGAGACAGGCCACGCCAGAAAACGTGTCTGGCAGGTATCGCTTGGGGAAAATTTTGAAGCAAATTTTCAAAATTTTCAAAAAATCGATTAATGCTGGAAATCTTCCAATTGGCGCACAGAACCAAAAAAAATTTGAAATTTTTCATCTATTTTTTTTTTAATTTATCGAAAATTCTTGGTTTTGTGCGTGTTTTAGACAGTTTCCTGCATTTTTTTTTCCAAAATTTTCAAGAATTCTCAAAATTCCCCACACCCGAACTTCACTAGAACAGCTTTCTGCTAGAACTCTTCTCTACCACAGCACGTCTCTGCATGACTCGTTGACATCGTCATCAGCTCCCTGCCTTACTCAGTCTCTTCCTCACCCGGTCTACGCCGGAAGCGTTGCTTACGACGACGACGCGTAAGAAACAGGGCCATAGAGGGACCGCATGGTCTAGAGACTGTGTACAGCACAGTCCCTGTCAGTCAGTGAGCTGGTTCGCCAGAGAGAGGCCACGCTAGAAAACGTGTCTGGGAGATATCTATTGGGGAAAATTTTGAAGAAATTTTTCGAAATTTTCAAAAAAATCGAAAAATGCTGGAAATCTTCCAATTGACGCATAAAACCAATAAAAAATTTCAAAATTTACATTTAAATTTTTTTTGAAATTTTTCGAAAATTCTTGGTTTTGTGCGCATTTTAGACAATTTCCTGCATTTTTTGTTTTTTCGAAAATTTTCAAAAATTCTCAAAATTCCCACACCCGAACTTCACTAGAACAGCTTTCTGCTAGAACTCTTCTCTACCACAGCACGTCTCTGCATGACTCGTTGACATCGTCACCAGCTCCTTGCCTTACACAGTCTCTGCCTCACCCGGTCTCCGCCGGAAGCGTTGCTTGCGACGACGACGCGTAAGAAACAGGGCCATAGAGAGACCGGATGGTCTAGAGACTGTACAGCACTGTCCCTGTCAGTCAGTCAGCGGGTTCGCTAGAGACAGGCCACGCCAGAAAACGTATCTGGCAGGTATCGGTTGGGGAAAATTTTGATGCAAATTTCCAAAATTTTCAAAAAATCGAAAAATGCTGGAAATCTACCAAATGGCGCACAAAACAAAAAAAAATTGAAAATTTTCACACGGTCTCTGTTTGACACGTTCTGTGCCTCGGCGTCTGCTTAACTCGGTCTGTGCCTCTCTCTCTCGTCATGACTCAGTCTGTGCTACACACGTTTTCTGCGTTCTCCGCCTAACACGATCTCTTTAACGGACTTGGTCTCTCCCACACCTCATCTCCGTCTCTGCCTCACACGTTCTGTGCTTGACTCGGTCTGTCTCACACGGTCTCTATCGAACCAGGACCATGCAGAGACTGCCTGGCAGATATCTGGTCATAGAGATACCGATTCGTGCAGAGTCGGAGTCCGGCAGAGCCCAGGTCCGTCACAGACAGGGTGCAGTACAGACCTTGTCATACAGACACCGGATCGGGTAGGGAGAAATGTTAGGAAAATTTTCCAAAATTTTCGAAAAATCAAAAATTATAGGAAAATGTCCAAAAAGCGCACATAACTAAAAGAATTTAAAAAATCCGACTTCAAAATTTTCGTCGAGAAATTCGAATTTCTTTAGATATTTACACTTTTCATGACATTTTTACTCATTTTTTTTTAAATTTTCTCGAAATCTTGAAAATTTTCAAAAAAAATTCATAATTTTCTAAAAAATCAAAAAATGTATGAAAATGTCCAAAACGCGCACAAAACTAAAAATATTGAAAAATTTCAACTTCAGATTTTTTGGAATTCTTTGAAAATTTTTCGTTTTGTATGCTGTTCAGACAATTTGTAGCATTTTTTGATTTTTCGAAAAATTTGAAATTTTTTTAAAAAAATCAGTTTTCCCTACCCTATCACTATCATACCTGGTCTTTAACGGACGTGGTTTTTCCCACACCTAATCTCTGCCAGACTCTCTCTGCCTCTACATCTCTACCCTTCTCTGTCTGTGCCTCGCTCGTCTTTGCTTGACACGGTGTGTTCACCCGGTCTCTGCTTGATACGTTCTATGCCTCAGCGTCTGCTTCACCCGGTCTCTGATTAACTCGGTCTCTGCGGGATTCGTTCTCTCAGGATACCTTCTAAATAGCGCACAAAATCAAAAATTTTCGAAATATTTGAAAGAATTTTTGAAGTTGAAATATTTTTTAGTTTTATGCGCTTTGTGAACAATTTCATGCCTTTCTTATTATTTTTTAACATTCTGAAAAATGTGAATTTTTCTTTTAAATTCTCACTACCCGATCGCTGCCAGAACTGTTCTCCACCTTACCCTGTCTCTGACGAAAAATGTCTCTTCGGTACTAGGTCTCTGCCGGACTCGACCTCTCCGGGTCCGTCACAGACCGTGTGAGGCAGAGATAAGAGTCTGGCAGTGACCGGGTTTGGCACATACCGAGTCCGGTAGAAACCGGTTTTGGTATGGTTCGGGTAGAAAAATTTTTGAAAAAAAAATTCAAATTTTTAAATATTTTCGAAAAATCAAAAAAAGCTGCGAATCTTCTGAAAAGCGCACAAAACAAAAAAATTAACCATGTTCCTGGTGAAGAGACTTTCGAATTCCCAAAAATTTTGAAAATTCCGAACATTTTTCAAAACTTTCAAAAAGTTCATAAACGTCACAAATGATGAGAAAACTTAAAATTTTCGAAAATTGGGGAGGGGGGGATGCTTCCCTACTAACGTAACATACAAAGTAAATTTTCAACTAGTATTTTACAAGAGTGCTAAAATGAGGACAAAGTTTCCGTAAGCATATTATTTTTTTCAGTAAATATTTTCGTTTACAGTGAAACCATTCCTAATACGAGGACCACAAGATGCAGTAACACTCACGGGTGGCAGTGTGGAGTTCCAGTGTCGGGTAGGGGGTGACCCAGTGCCTGATGTGCTCTGGAGGAGGACAGCTGGTGGCGGAAACATGCCCTTGGGTAGAGTTCACATCCTTGAGGATCGAAGTCTTCGTGTGGAATCTGTTATCCTTGAGGATGAAGGCGAATACAGCTGTGAAGCTGATAACGCTGTCGGTACTGTCAGTGCCTCGGCCACATTAACTGTCCACTGTAAGTAAACGCGTCCCTTACCTATCGTCTGAATTCAGTGAAACAGTACGCACAGTGCGTTCTTTTGTTTGGTAACAACCTTCCTAGCTTTAAAAAGTGATAAATGTTTGTCGGTAGCTTCACCGTCGATGAAAACGAGGCCATCCGACCAAACCATAGAGCTGCATCGTGATGCTGTATTTGAGTGCGGAGTCGTGGGAAATCCTCGACCGTCAGTGTTTTGGTCACTGGAAGGGAATCGGTCGTTACTGTTCCCCGGAGCAAGAAATGGCCGCTTCATCGCTTCCGGCACGCCCGAGGGGAGGACAATTCTGACTTTGCAGGTAACGATGCCGCGTTTTTAATTAAAATGTATCGGACTTAAAAAAACTGAGTGATCTCGGTTCTGACGGAAAGAAACACTAACTTATAAAATGTTACGAATATTATTGCTAGTCCAGAAGAAACTTACTAACAATTTTGCAATCTTATGTCTGTCAATGCATCAGGCAGTGTTCGGCAAAGGACTGTAGCGAGTTAAGGATTGTTTAAATATAATCTTCAGTGCAGAATAGCAGCTTTACAGGTCTTAGCTTTTAACAGATTAAAATAAAATATATCTTTATTATCAAGTATCAAATTTTTAAGTCATTTCTATTTATTTCTTTGTAGTCGGTGACTCGGAATGACTCGGGAACGGTAGCAGTGTGCTCTGCGGTAAACCCTGCTGGTTCTGTTATCTGGCGAGCTCGTCTGACAGTCACGTCTCCAGAAGACCACCCTCCTCCTATCATCACATTAGGACCCACCAATCAGACTCTACCGGTCAAGTCAATGGCTGTTCTGCCGTGTTCTGCAATTGGAAGTCCCGCGCCCGTCATCACTTGGTACAGAGATGGAGCTCCGGTCCTTGCTGGCTCTCGAATCAATATATCTGACTCTGGTACATTGCAGATCAACGGTGAGCTATGCACCTATTCAGTAATTCAATAGTAATTGAATATTTTACGCAACTTTCTAAAGCTCATGAGGGCACATGGCATTAGATTTGCAGAAGTGTACAGACCTCGGCTGTCGTCATTCATGTTGGTAGCTCTTACGTATAAAGTGAATCTTTCATGGCAACTGAAGTTGACGAAAGACTCTCGGGCGCGTCAGGTGGCTGAATGGTGAATGAACCATTTTTTCCGCTAACGTTTCGAGAGCAATCTCTGCTCTCATCATCAGGACAGCCGCGAAACGAAACTGGTCCTATGTAGCGCGTTCGCCGATGGGTAACTGGCGGTGGACGGCAGGTTGTTGCTACGTTTCGTGCTGACCAACAGGAAGTGGCAGACGAGGTCAACTGCTCACTCTCGCTGGCTCGGCCTTCTGGGCAGACAGCAGTTTTGTCACAAGATAAAATGAGATGTGATGTTACTTGTATGTTCTTCTTCCATTTATTAATCGAAAATCCTCATCTCTGCAGACCTCGAGAAGCGAGATGGTGGTTTGTACACTTGTGTGGCATCGTCTCGCAGTGGTAAAGCAACGTGGAGTGGTGCGCTCAGACTTGAGCTGCCTACCAATCCCAACATACACTTCTTCAGATCACCTGAGCCATCCACATTCCCAGGACCACCCAGCAGACCACATACCGTGAACAAAACAGATTCAAGTGTCACTATATCCTGGACTCGAAATAATAAAATTGGATCTTCTTCTTTACTTGGATATCAGGTTTGTTTATCATCATACGTACTCGTATTTGTTGACGATGTTCTTTCGGGTTCTGGCACCATCTCCATCTCCTCGGTTGAAGTGACAATACTTACCAACCAAAAAAGCCAACTGTAACTAGAGTCCTGCGCAAGCGCACTACATCGTCCCTTGCCATGTTACGCCATTACTGCGTACAAGCCACATTGCAGGAAATAGCAAACAATACCTTAAAAGTAAAACATGGGTGCGCTTATATGGATGGAAATTTTGTCATGGAAGACTTGGGGTTATTTCTAATGGTTGGACATGATCGCATCAGGCAACTTGTCCTTTGTCGTTGGTTGGTTCTCTGGGGTTTGAACCCAGAGGGGGTGGGGTCGCTTCACCTGAAGGCCTCTGCAACTTGGGAGGGATAAAGCTTCGAATCAGAGGGATTATACAGTGTGGCAGAAAGGTAAGTCTGAATGGTATAGATTCATGAAGACCAAAGGGGAGACTCCGAGCGTCAGAGGGGTAGGGTCAGACGGAGGTGGAGGGTAGGAGAAAAGAAGTCAGCCCTTACCAGGGCCACCACAGTGCAGGATGGATTACTAAGTCAGTGATGTTTAAAATGTTTTACTGTTAACAAAACTAAAATTGGTCAAGGATCTTTATGATGGAGACAGCACAGACCTGGTAAACTTTTACTACGCTACACAACAACCCTGAATACAAAAACATATTTCTGCCATACTGAAGACTATGACACATTTCCTAAGGGGACAGCGGACTGAAACTGTATCCCTGGGCCCTCAGTTTCTACCAACCAGGCGATCAATTTTTTTCTCTGCAGGTAGAGTTATTCGGTCGAGAGCCTGAAACAGGTCACGTCAGCTCAGGCAGCGGATGGGTTGTAGCAGCCCGTCGTGTCCAAGGACCAACTTACACTCAGCATCACCTAGCTCCAGGTGTAAGCTATACATTTCTGGTTCGAGCCGAAAATTCCCACGGCCTGTCCCCACCGAGTCCGCTGTCAGAACCTGTCGTAATGACTGCCTCTGGTCTTACTTGGCCAAATGGGGATAGTGAAGAAGAAATGCAGCTGAATGAAGCAAGGGCCAGCCTCTTGGCTGGACACGTTGTTGAACTGATTGATGCCCAGCCATTAACCTCTACTTCTGTTAAACTGGTATGGGAGGTAAGAGTTCAGTTCTGGTGAGACGCTATTAACGAAAAGAAGTGTAGTTGGTAGAATTCGTAGTTACTTTCTTTTAGAGATGGAAAAATTGCAGATGAATTGATCAGAAATTAGTTTAGTGACAGGCTCTCGTAAACACAGCATGAACCTTCTGGTCGTATAAGACGCAAGTGATTATCAGCTTCTCAAAAAAACTCTTCTCCACGGAGTTAAAAACACTCACCTGTGTTTCTTGTCACAAGCTAACAGATTATAACAAATTTCTGAATGCTGTATTGGTCACTGCTGATGCTTTGTTACAGATCTTGAACTCTGAATATGTAGAAGGTTTCTACATCTACTCCCGTCCGCTGGATGGTGCTCGTTCGCCAGACTCGTACAACATGCTGACTGTACTTCATGCTGGTGGTGCTTCAGGCTTCCAAGTCACTGGCCTGGCCAAGTACACTCGTTACGAGTTCTTCCTTGTGCCTTTCTACAAAACTGTTGATGGACGACCCTCTAATTCCGGAATGGCACGGACACTAGAGGGTGGTAAGAGAAGTTAATTCATTACGTATTTTCAGATTTACAGATGTTTCCTTTCAGAATCAACAGACTTTAAAATAGACAGATCTGATTAGCATTACTGTAAGGCAATGAAATTAGAAAGTTCTTACGTACATCCAGACCCCGACATTATGCACCTATATGACATAATTAACTTCACAGTGCATGTTCATTTTGTTGTATCCCTGGTCAAAAACTATTCAAATATTTTTCAATAAAATGAAATTAATACAAGCTGTTGCATAATTCTTTTTTTTACCTTAGCACCATCTGAACCACCAACTCATATGGAAGCCATTTTACTGAATTCATCTGCTGTGTACTTAAAATGGAAGCCACCACCACCAAACACACACAATGGAATTTTGAGGAATTACCAGGTAATATAATCAGATTCAAAATTGTTAACATCCTATAAAGAAATTTCTTCACTAACATAAAGTATGATTTTAAATGGGCGGTACTTGTGGGTTATCGGGACACATCACTTTAAAAATAGGTTAGGTTAGGGTAGGGTAGGTTAGGGTAGGGTAGGTTAGGGTAGGGTAGGTTAGGGTAGGGTAGGTTAGGGTAGGGTAGGTTAGGGTAGGGTAGGTTAGGGTAGGTTAGGTTAGGTTAATGTGTGTGGAAAACCAACTGCTGCTGTGCGTTCTGTTTTCCAGGCATCGGTGATGTTCATGTTAAAAGTAGAGGTGATCCCAAAAGATAAATATTTTACATATCCAACATTACAATATAAAATGACTTAAAATCTGCATATCCATGACAGACCTGTTCCTACCTAAAGATTTTCATGATAGAATATTTTAAATTAACAAATCCAAAGAAACATGGGACCACTGTAAACTACAGTGATATGATTTTTCTCTGAGTTTCATGTAAATAAGCCACGGATTCAAAAGTTATTACAAATAAATATCCAAATATATTTGAAGTAGCACACTACAATGTGGTTAAGAACAAAAATTGTATTCCTCGTTAAATAAATCTGAGAAAAATAATGTGAAGACTGTTGAGGGCTAGCACAATATTCAGGGAAGAAATGCACCTTCTGAAAAGTATGCCACACAAAAACAGATTTTTATCAAAACACTTATTTTGAAGAAAAGTAACACATGACCTGACGAGGTCCAACTTTACAGTTGAACTGTGTAACTTTTCAACGATAAAGATAAAAATTATGAAAATATATTTAGACTTAGCTCTTAATTTACTGAATATAATACTAAATCACATTCAAACAGGTGGTAGTACGAGGAGGTGGAGATAACAATAATGTTTCGAGCAGAATTCTGACAAATGTGACAGTAAACGCTGCGACTCCATCCCTGCTGCTAACTAATTTGACTGCAGGAGTGACATACATTGTGACAGCGTCTGCTGCTACGAAGGCCGGTCCTGGACCACCCAGCGTCCCAGCAACCCTCAGACTTGACCCCACTTCAAGACTTCTGCTTAAAGATCAGCATCAGAGGTATAATATTAGGTCTAAAATAAAATTCTTAAAACACTAGTTACCTAATCTCAGCACTAAATGGAGGTGAGTGGTCAGCTTCATGTCCTGGCAACTTTTCCCCCAGGGAACACGGTCATGGTACCCATTGGGTAAGAGGCTGGGTAAGCCCCCACAGAGTCAGCCTCGCTTGGAATCGGACCCTGGTCGTTCAGCCTGTAGCCTAGTCAACACACTTACTGACCTAACTTACTTCCAAATTCTAGTACACTGAAAGCAAAGAATTGTCATATTACACAATTTGTCCAAAAAATATTGAAGTCCCAATGACGACATAAGAGCAGGTAACAAATGTTCACATTTTAAAAATTCCAACATAATTTTTCAGTCTAATTCTAGCTCACAGTAACATAAAATAAGGCTGATAGTGACATTTCTTAACTTTCTTTTGAAAAAATACGCAACTGCGGATGGAAAGGAATTAAGGACGCCTATGTGATTGTGTGTTGTACTTCTTTTGTCACAATTTGTATTTTTTTTCTTACCATTAAAGAATTGTAAGAAAAAACAACAGGGGTAAGTCTGGTATAATCCCAGGCATGAATGACGGATCATCTGAAAGGTAGAAAGACTATTCTTGATAACTTCAGCCTGTCTTACTACCAAAATTTAATTTTACATTACAGACAACCGATTGGACATGACCCCAGTCTCACACCAGGTTTAACTGGAGGTGACTTTCTCACAGAAACATGGTTCATTGCCCTCTTGGGGAGTATGGTGGCAGTAATGGTGCTTCTGTTTGCTGCCATGCTGCTGGTGCGACGAAGACAGCTCCTTACCAAGAAGTCAACACTCTCCAACATACGTGGTAAAATTTCTAAAAGTTGTAACTTAATTAACATGACCTACATATTGAATGAACCGCCACGGTAGTCTAGCGGTCAGAACGCTGGCCTTGTAATCCTGGGGTCCCGGGTTCAATTCCGGTGGTGCTCAGATTTATAACTTGTGTTGGGCAAGGCCGTGGTCTAGGCAACACGGAGTTTTCCTCCGTGGCATCCCAACAATTACTCCATTCACACACAGAAGAAGGCAATGGCAAACCACTTCTGGATCATCTGCCAAGAACGTATATGAACAGGTCCCAGTCCGAGAAAAGGATGGAAGGATCCTGTTCATATGGACCTGTCGTCAGACAGAACACTAAATAAATAAAAAAAACATATTGAATGAAGTAACACAGCCAATGAACGGTGCTCTGATTTAGTCTGAATGATTTGTTCACTATTGGAGACAAAATCTCTTGTTAACTAGGTTTATGAAAAAAAAAAGGTCAAACCACTATCTACGCAGAGAAATACACAAAATTACTGCCCTTGAGTCAACTGTTATGAATGAAGGGGAAGGTAATTTCAGGGCTGCTTGATTCATTTATGTCAAGTTGTTCGGCAGCAAGGAGTCGAACACTAATGTTGATCCTGCTTTTTGGTGCTGACACTGCATAAATTTGCTTGCTGTCAATGTTTCGAAGGACCACAGTGCCTCTATCATCAGGACTGAAGCGAGTAAGTTAGTCAAGTAGCTACTTTACATCAGGATCATGTCATGGGAATTGGCCACTCAGAACCAAGTCTAAGAGGGGACCATGATTTGGGTCTGGCTGTGGTATTCCCCTCCTATGGAGAGGATATCATATCCTATGGTTTATGTTCCTTCAGGCTCGACTTACCTTATCTATATAAGTTGTCATGTTCACTGATCTTGACGGCTTCATGGATTTTGTGAGGCAGCTTCGCCAAAACCACCGTGCTGTCAAACTGTATCTGGTGGCCCCGTTCAAGTGAATGTTCTGCCACCACTGAGCATTCTCGATGGGAGAGCTAGATGTCTCTATAGTGCTCCTTTGTGCACATTCTTCCGTTGCGCGGTCAGTCTCATTGACATTTGCGCATGAACTTGTAGGCACCAGGAGCTTTCAGACCTTGGCTGTCTTCCTCACTTCAGCACTGATGATGGACACAGTATTGTCCTCTGAAACATTGGCAACATGACCAAACGCAGGTGCACCATTAATAATGAATCAATATGAATGCTTGAAGTCGGTTAATAAAAAACATTCTTGTTGTACGTTTCTAGTCTCACCGATATGAGCTATATTCCAATGAGACACGACCTTCTCGATTTAACTACCACTGTTACACGTACATTTCTCATTCATCCTATACAAACTCTGTGCCTGATTGATCATAATCTTCTTCGTTCAATTATCGTGACTATTAAGTCAGAATGTTTAGCGTTATCTTACTTCCTCCATTCTATCTGGCATGATCAAATTTCCTTCCCTTTAAGCATCCTGAGAGGTGATGATATTGTTCTTCTGAATGCAGATCACATCTCTATAAAAACTCCACTGGACCTATGTTTCTGAAAATTTTCAAAGAATCTCATTACAGTTCTTTAGCTAGCTACAAATGATCCTTTTTTTCAGATTCTTGCTCTAATGGTGGTGTCCTTGCAACTCCCCTAAGTTTAAAAGCAGCAGCTGGATTACCACACCCACTGACAACACCAGCTCCTCACTGTTCACTGCCACATGATTCATCGCTATGGATCGAGAACAGACCGGATTGTTGGCGTAACTCAGAAAACAGTGACAAGGACACGCGAAGTCTTTCAGAGTCCCGATTACTCCACAACGGCAGCATAGTAACAGCTGCACTGAATGACTACGCAGAAACAGGGACGCAGAAGCAAGCTGGTTCAAGATCAGGCATCAATACGCCAGGCAGTGATGCGATGCCTGCTTACGCAGAAGTGGACCCCAATCACACAGCACCACTCACAACATTCCAGGGACATCGAGGTTGTGATGAGAGATGTGGAGGGCCTGCAAGTAGCGATGGCTCTAGTTCCCCTGCCCCATATGCCACTACAACACTCGTCGGAAGCTCACATCAGCATCTCAACGGCTTGGTAGGGGCACATAATAATTACTATTTATTACATACAGGTTACAATTTTTATTTCAGATTTCCAGTCAAAATATATAAGTTAAATTTTCGGTACGTGCGACGTAGATGTCTTTCCCTGTGAACGTGATTTTATATAATGTCCCAATCATCTGTAACTTGATTTCACATCCATAAAGCAAGTTTAAGGAATTAAGTTATCTGAAGTAAAATAATTACATGACAACTGTTTATATACTTTTACCACCACATACATACGTCGCACTGTCAACACATCCTGCAGCACCAAACACCGTAACCATATAAAGTGTTTCAGACCTTCAAGAAACATCACAATGATTTTTTACTTACAGATTTAAAACCTATTCAGAGTACATAAATGTTGCACTGAGTGTATATGTATCTTATTCGTATCGTAAAATTCTGCTGTTAAATAGTTTATAAATTATGTGTATATTTTTTTCAGGGTTGGGTACAAATCTGTCCACAAACAAATGATGTTGATGAGGAACCATATCCTTCAAATTCAGCCTGTTTCTTCAGTAGGAATGTCTACTCAGATTCTTACTTCTTTAGCGGACGCTGCAATGATTATGGTCAACATTCAGGTGACAACAACAACAACAAACAAATTCCAGTGACATGACCAACTCCTAGAATGAGGGTCTTTGACTATGAAAATAATTATTTAATGTATTTCTCATTTAAAAACTGCTCAAAACAGGGAAATTCTTACAAAATTAGTGGTCTATTACTTTTTCAATGTAATGAGTAATAGGCAATTATTATTACCTTCAGGTGGCAGTGTCGGCATACCAGCATCCTTGAACAGCTGCGGTGGGAGTGGACGCAGCCGGAAAGCCATGTCTGAACTAGGACATCAGCAGCCGACAAATGGCAAATCTCTCCCTCCAAGTAACCCTCCACTGTCGTCTGCATCAGTACCCCACACCCCAGCAGCCACACTACGAAGAGGACATCGCAATCTTCAGCTGCTGCGCCCTCAGGTTAGATGTAAAACTAATCCACTTGCATCCACAGGACAATGCAGAACCACGCTGGCTTATGCTAGTAAAAAACAAAAGTAAATGGCATTTCTTGGCTGTTTCCCTGTAAACATACACGTAATTTCTTTTCTCAATCCAACAAACACAAACTACGTCCCACAGTGCATATCTCAGACCTAGCTAAAAGAAGTCTATATTTTAATTTGTTTCATAAAACCAATTTCTGAATACGCATTCCAGTACACGAGGGTGTATGGCATAAAATATAGCTAAATATTGTGACGTAGGTTGGTTCTTACGCCCTTTATTGTCAACCCTCGCTGTTTGGAGTCTGCTGACTTGAATACGATGCTACGAACACTTTTACATGGGGATCCATGCACTAATCACACACTCAACGCTTCGCGGTCTTGTTGCCGCCGTGCCCTCCAGCTTACTCTCTCGATGCTACTTCACCACTCGGCTGCACCCAGGAATGCGACTTTGTTTATATCCCCCTCTTAAGATGTTGAAAGATCCAGACCAGGCAGCCTAGAAGTCAGGTGGCCCCTCCCCTCCAGCGCGAGGCCCCGGCACCCACGGCGACGCGTCACAATATATAGATGGATAATCATAAAATCTTACATATGAAAAATTTGTATTCCTTGAAAATTATAAATTATATTGAACCTGTTAAGCGACTGTAATGCCATATATCTTGATAATATGTTTTAAAAGTTTAGTTACTATCTTCTTAAGATCAACATAAATTTAGAATCAATATTTTTAGCCTTGCTTTTTTTAAATAAACTTGCTGATACACATTCATTAACATTTCCACATACCTCATTCCATGGTTTAACAGTTCTAATCACACTTGTTGTTCACTTTAGATACCCAAATGTGGGGCAGGAAGCAATCTGGCAAACTCTCGTCTGTCTCCCATTAACGGGATGCCACAAAGCTCCAACATTTCCAACAGCCATTCCAGCAATCGAGATTGTCACCGCTTCTCAGACCCTCCGCCAGACATCATTACATCACCAAATCAGCCACCACCTCAGCCGCCCAACAACTCAAACAGAACGTCACCCCCGTCATCATCACAGCAATGGAAGTCACAACACAACATGAGTGGAGTCAAGCCAATGTTATTAATGACTTCAATACCTTCTGGAACTGGGTTAAATGCAGACCCTTCCTCCAATAAGAATGCTCCTCAACTAGTAAAAGACTTGCCATCATCACATGCTGCTAACTCATATAATGCTCACAGTTTGTCTAGTTTTGCAGTGCCTTATCACCAGACATATGCACTGTCAAGACACGGACATGGACAGTATCAACCTGTTTATCATCAATCATCAAGGAGCGAGCCAGGAGGACATCACAATGTGACCGCCACTTAGTTGCTTCACAGGCTCTACATGTAAGAACACTACTGATCATTTTCACGTGACAGACGTTAGATCTTTAGGTGTTGTGTTTTACATAATGAAGGGCACAGAAGTACGGTGTGTCCGCAAAGTCCCTTCGGGATTTTGAAAAATTGTGGCGCGCAAACAAATTGAGCTAGCCACATGCGGTTTGCGGCAGATTACAGTGAAACTTCTTGCTGACCTCAGTAGACCTCGATGTGGGCTCCCTTGGTAGCACGGAGAACGTCCAGACGATATTCGAGCTCTTGCCATGTTCTGTGGAACATGTCCGCTGGAATAGCGGAGATCGCATTCCTGATACGGGTCTTCAGGTCATCAAGTCCGTTAACTGGTGTTCGGAACACATTGCTCTTGACATGACCCCACAGGAAAAAATCCAGTGGTGTTATGTCTGGTGAACGTGGAGGCGAAGGCATTGGAACGTCTCTGCCGATCCATCTTCCTGTACTTTATGTTAATTAAAACTTGTAAGAAAAAGAATAATACCGTCTAGTTTCTCCCAGTCTGATATCAAAACTGTACTTGAAAACAACATAATTTTAGCTCACAATTTATTCTGAACTTACTTCTGTCCTTGCTTATTAATTTTCTTAATGTCACTGAATGATTTTATGGAACATGTTGAAAATGGTCAATAGTGAGTCTATAATGGATAAATTGTTATTAATGTATATTGCATGAAGTTGCCAGAGGAAATAAGAAGTGGAATTCATTGTGCATTAAATTACAACCCATATCATCATAAAGCAAGCATAAGAACATAATTACAAGATCGGCATTTTCTCGACAGTAAAACTAGAAGAAACCCCTATGGATTTTGAAACTGACGATAAGAACCCTATAGATTATTCTAAAGCAATCAACATCTCTTATTCTGATGCAGGCGACTGATTTTCGTGTGACCTAGAATTGTTTGTACCGCTGACTATCAATATTTTGCCATGAAAATGATACAGATTAGCATTTTAGTCATCATTACACTTGTCACCTGTGGAGTAGTGCCAGAGTGTTTCTCAAACTTATGAACGAGGAATATGCAAGAACATTGAATACATTCAATTTGAGGTTTTCACAACAGTGTGAATGATGATACTCTTCTTCTGGGACTTGGCAACAAGTCTACATGACACCAAAACCCAGAATAGCATCAGTATTTAAATACTCAAATAAAGCAGTTTTAAGTTCATTATCATTTCAGTCTCACTTAAAAAATATTATACACATTAATTCAGTCTTTAGTCTTGATTAACATTATCAAACTAATTATTCTTCTCTCCAAGATGTTTCCACTTCAGGCAAATCGCCGAACAACGAAGCCTCTCCATCTGTCCACATCCTTACCCGCTGTCCTAAGCGAGCGATTAAATTCGAGCGGTGCGAGTTGCGTGGCTGAAGCGGAAATATCAAACTGGCTGTTTGTGTGGCGCTGTCCTAGGCTCCAGCGAAGCGGTCAGGAGAGGGAAGCGGCCAAAGTCCGAGATCAAATACTTTGATATTTTCGCGCGAGTCGCTGCGCTGACCAGTAAGGCGCATGCGCATTAAGGCCGTGTCCTTCTATTGCGGTCTCTCACGTAGGACACAACAAGCGATTCCCCGCTTCATATGACACCCCATGCTGCTTATGCAGCTCGGGTACCTCGCTTGTTATCGCTTACGTAGGACATTTCCTTAGTCTCTTCCCACGGTCTTCCCTCCCTTTGTGTGGTATCTTTCCTAACATGCTACTCCATCTTGATCTTGGTCTCTCTCTTGGATGCTTTCCTTTCATTTTCATGTTTGAAACCATCTTTAGAATTCTTTCTTCACTCATTCTTAAGATACGTCTGTATCACGTCATTCAAATCTAAATATACATTACATATACAATCAACATTTCACAGTATATGAGACTACATTGCGTTAGTTTCATTTTTTAGAACCCCGCAGACGTAACTACTAATTACATAATTACTGAGACACCACCATTATAGTAAGAGACAATGATGACCTAATTCTCAATAAACTGCTCACTTATTTTCAAAATTACAGAGTTTCTGAGCATATTACATCTGGATTTCAGGCAGGTATAGTCCAAATGTTACATTCTATACCAAAAAAAGTTATAAACGAATTGCTGACATGATCACATGTTATCCAGACAATTTGGAAGATTTCCTTAATTGTCTTCAAGTGTCAGCTTATTATTAATTTCAAATTCCAAACACAAACTCTGTATCAAGACAGAAAAGATGTCTAACAGTCATATAAAACAGTCTTTATACTTGGTGGAAAATGAAAGCGGCAAGTCTCATTTCAGTGTAGTAAGATCATCGCTCAAAAAGTTAACATAAATATTAATAAAAGCCATGAAAGAGAAATCCTGGACCATTCCTTTTTAATATAAATTCACAGACATGTGTAATATAAAGGACATAAACTTATAGATGTATCCAAGTTTTATAGTTTTCATAAAGGAATGAAATTATTAAAGATCATAGAATCTTACTAACAGACCTAATTACTTGATTCGGTTTTTAATTAAGGCTAAACTAACAGTCTACCTGCATTAGCCCAATAAGGCACAGTGCCTCATGTCTCCAAAATGTAAGCTTTCTTCTTTGCACACCATGAAACAGAACACCTCTTCGTTATTCTCCTAGTTTCAAACCCATGCAAAGAATTCGAATAATAAAAGACTGAGGATGGCTATATTCTGGGTTTTAGCACCGTGTAGTCAGGTAGAAATTTACCCCTGAAATGTTGGTAAATTTCTATCAGACTACACGGTGCTAAAACCCACAAGACAGGCATCTTCATACTCGTTGCCATGAAAACCTCAAATCCTACTTAATGATACTGAAACTACATAAAAAGTTGTGGGAATTAAAATCAGACTAAAATACTTATTTTGAGGGGACTATGACAGCTGGCTTTAAAACACCGTACAGAAATGTGTTCTAATGGCACTACACCACTGAATCTGGAAGAAAGTATTTATTAATCTGCTGAAAAACTGACAGATTCAATCACAAAATTAATATGCAAAAATGACATGCAGATATAAATATGTATTTTAAAAAAACTGTTGATTTATCTGCCTTGCGTTGTCTGCAAACAATCTAACAGAGTAACAGAAGAAACGGGAAGTTACAAAACTATAAATCCCTGGAATCTTTACCAGATATCAAAAGTAAAGGCAAATGTAAAGTTGTCCCTGGTGCTTAATTAAGCATCACACCAATGCAGATACATGGGGGAGGAGGGTCAGAGGTACAGCTCCGCGCATTCTTAACCTCTGCACTAGATGGAGGTGAGTGGTTAGTTTCATGCCCCTGAAACAATTATAGTACCCATTGGATAGAGGAGGCTGGGTGGGTCCCAGAGTCGGTCTGTTGTTACGGTAAAATTAAAAATTAATATAGTGACTAGGTTGTGGGCTGGAAGAACAAGGCTCAATTACCAGTAGGACAGATATTAAATGCTCATCATACAATTCTAAGTATCCAAGTCAACTGTCACAACTTGCCACATTTGCAATATAACTTTAACTTAGAATGTACTATGTAGAAGAAGTCCAGAATCAATATGCCCTTAAAAAGATACAGTGGAACCTATATAACATTTTAAGAAACAATAATTTAAAGAACTTATTTTCATACACTGACTGGTATGTTAAATTCTCACAAAATGATTAAGTATCGAGATTCAATGCAAATAACATGTAGAATTACTGATTAATTAACTTCAAACAAGAAAACCAGAAATACACACAAAACTTTCTTTCATAATGCAGACTAATAAAATTTGGATACTGGTGAACATAATTAACAGAGGGACTACACTGAAAAAATGAATCTAGAACAATTAGTTGAATATACGCATATACATTTAAATATCATGTCTTAAAATGTATATTTTTGCCTTGCCTCCATTTAATTTCAGTTATATAAAATCAAGTAGTTAAGGTTCGAGTTTCATGTCTCGGGAGCAAGACTTCAGTCATTATGGACCTGAATATACACAGCAAAAAGCCAAGTTATGTTGGGTTTTTGTTATACTAAAAATTAATAATTTAACTAGTAAAGCCTAACATACTGCTACACTAATAAAACATTTTAATACATCATGAGAGAATAACGAATCTGAAACTGAAATCCAAAGTCCTGCAAAACTATAATAAAATTCTGGCCTATAAAAATGAATTGCAAAAATGAGACTGTCGATTCTTGACAAGTCATCAGGATTAAGTGAAACTGTAAAATATATCTCAGTTACATAACATGATCTCTAATGACTTGACAAAAGCAAGAGTTAAGGCCTCACATAGACACGATTACGAACGATGCCTAAGGTAAAATTAGTATGAGCACATGTTAAATATTCTGCACAATTTCCATTATTCTCATTCAAAGAATCATGGGATAGAAACTGTGATTTGTTAAGATGGTATTGCACATGAATGTCCAAGGTAATCATGCCTTACATCAGGTCACATCACGATGTTAAATGTGATCCTCCATCCTCCTAACCTAACCTAACCTAACATAACCTAACCTAAAAAAAGCAGTTCAAACAAACAATTAAAACCCAAATTCCAACACATACCTCCAGTTACTTCTATTTTCCTCATCGAGTATGTACACTCACTGTAAAAGTTTAAAAATCCAGAGTTATTGCTCACTGATTGTATTTAAATTCTTTTAAATATTTCTACGATTATTTTTTTCACTTGTTACAAAAAGTTGATTCAATTTACTGCCTGACGTCTAACTGTAGATAAACATATCACTGTGTAGATGAAAGTGTGTATGTGTGTATATAAGTAAAAGGTACGTCATTCTTGTTTCAGAGAAACATGATGTACTATGTTATTGACAAGATGAGTATGAATAAGTCCGTATGTATGCACTATTATGTTACCAAATCCCAGTGTTTTATCGTAATAGTAAAAAAAAAAAACACAATATATATATATATATACTAACTGTTTTGCTGGCTGTCCATTACCAAAACTATGTGCTGCAATATTTAAGTGTGTACATATCAGTTTGAAAATAATATAAAAATTATATGTGAATATTGTATGTACGAATGAATGTCATTCATTATACTGTAATTAAGCACAGAAGTACGCAGTACTTCTAGCATGATACGATATAAGTTGCCGTACACTTAGTCGCAGCAGAGCAGATACAGAAGTAAATGGATTATGCTTTTTGCAGAAAATATTCATTATCTTTGTGTGTAATATCTTAAATAATTTGTTGTTAACAGGATCATGTGGAAAGTACAGTACAATGTTTAATTCTCGTATACTTTTAGGTGGAAAACAAACTGTTACCTAATTATTCACAAATGTTATCGATATTTGTATTCTTGTTTTCAGCATTCACCAGTTGTAATAACTTCTAAATGTTCTTTTGTCAAGTCAAGATTTCAAACATTTTCCTCCAGATGGGGCGTTAAAAGAATATGATGAAGCTGACACACGTGTACTTATTTCAATACATTCGCAATTTTACATAAGTCAATGGACTGCAATCTGTTATATATGTCTTTATATTTGCATACATTTCATAAAAATATTTTTATTACTATCGTGAATATTAAAAATCCATCTCACTCTCAGTTTTGAATGATAAAAATAATTTCTGCCCCGAATACTGCCATTTTTCATATACCAAAGAATTCCAAAATTATGGAATACTTGAAGTGAAATGGAAAAATAATTATGCTTCAGATTAATTTTCTTATGTGGATGTCGCAATAAAAGTAATTTTACATACAAAGATGAGATAAATTTGAGAGAAAACAAGAGACTCATTTCAGTTTGCAGAACAAGGGATCATAGACGATGAACACACATGAAAACTCTGATCTTCTCTTATAACCTTTAGCCCAAACACAAATGTGATTTTTTCATTATTATATTATATTTATTACTTGAAATTTAAAATATCCACAGAGTAAATTTATTAATCTTCTTTAAACTGTTTTATTTTTGTCATGAAAGAAAAAAAACAATTGTAATCTCTTCACTCACTGATAGGACAAATGGGAATATGAATGTAAAGAAATGAGTCTGTGAAATCTGCTAAATCCTGCCTTGAAGTTTTTCTCAGTGTCTCCAAGTTAGCCTTTATCACAAATCCCATGTTTTCCATGTAAACTTAAAAACTAGGCCAATGCGTTTGAAACCATCCTAATGCATATTAGCTTCAAACTTACATCATGAGAAAATAGTAACTGGGAGAACTAGTCATCATTATAACCAGAATTAATTTCGATTCGTCTTCCTTGCTTGCAGTTTTATATTAAATGAAAACTGACTGTATAGCTTTAGCCAACCGTGGTGAGTGATGTCGCCAAATGGAAAAAGCATTAAAGTGTTTATATTTTTATAAGATAATGTTTCCTGTAAAGCTGTTTTATGTACTGTACTGCAAATAAAGCTAAAAATGAGACACTTAACTGAGAGTACTTGCTTATCGAAACAGACACTAGAAAGTAATAGTTATTTTCTACCCAAAACTGCATCCTATTACAGTCTAAACTCAAACCATGGGACTGATTTATCAGATGCATTTTCATGTCGTTTCCATCACAAGTTTTTCCACAGTCCTAACATTCCACACTTATTTCTCGGCCACCATTCCAAGTCTCTGAAGAAAGTAAGCAAATAACATAATTTCACTTGTAGTGTGAAATGTTTGCACTTTCTACGCCAAATACCTATCACTCAGAATTTCTGTACAGATTCACAGATGTTCCTAACACAGAATGAAGAACCTAACCAAATGCTATTTTGAAACTCCAGCACTGCAATCATCAAAATCCCCACTACAGTCTGAGTGAGCACCTGTTATAGTCAAACCTTAACTTACGCAAAGAAAAAAAATCCCTGCGACAGCCACACATTTCAGTGCCTTAAAGGACGCTGAAATCTAATTAGAGGAGTAAAAGTAAAGTTTGTCCCACTAAGTGCCATAAAGGCGCTTGAGGGGAGAGGAGGTATAGCTCCTCTCTTCCTTGACCTCGGCACCAGATGGGGGTGAGTGATCAGCATCACGCACCGGCCGGCTTTACCCCAGGGGAAAGGACCCCGGTACCCATTGTAGAGGAGGCTGGGTGGGCCCCAGAGCCGATGTGAACGCAGAGGCTGCAGGAAAAATTACTCTGCCCCCATCGGGGATCGACCCCCGGTCGTCCAGCCCGTAGCTAGTCACTATACTGACTGAGCTATCCCGGCTCATGTTCCTGTTTTAAGTACAAGTTATGCAGTCCTTGGCACCAAAATTTCTGGGTGAAAGAAGTGTAACAGAACTACCGAGCACTGAAAAAATGGGAGTGTTTCAGGTTCACTTGTACTCATAATATAAAAACTTTGGAAGTGTGCGTTTATAAAATAAACACAAAACATAACTGGGACTTCATACACAGTATTAGCATCCAGCTGAGTTTAGGGACCAGTGGTGGGCTTTTTTAATCTTCAGGTTCAATAAAAAGTGAAGTATTTACTACTAGCTGAGCAACTGCAAGCTTCTCACAACAGACTCCCCCCCCATCAAGTTTATCAGTAAATTATAAGGATGAGAGGAAGACCACGGAAACGATGGATAGATGACGTGGAGGAGGATGTGAGGACGATGGGAGTGAGGGGATGGAGAAGAATTGTGAATGACAGGACAGAATGGAAGAAACTCGTCGAACAAGCAAAGACACACACAGGGTTATGACGCTACAAGGAGAAGAAGAATCTATGTTGTGCACTGTGAACAACAAATTGCATATGGTCTAAATATTTCACCAAGACTAATAACACCAATAATCACCCAGATTTGCATCACATGTATAGACACAGTAAATTTACAAACATAACACATGAATGTGACATATATTACTTAATGGTACCTGCACCTTGTCGTGGTCGTGGGGCTTGAGTACCTCGGGGACCCCAAGAGCTACTGGTAGGGTCTCCCTAGCCAGATTGGTCGAGGGGGAGAGGTCAGACTAAGACAGGTACCCTGGTCCTCCAGGTTGGGGGTTGGTCGCAAGGCTAACAACCTTGCACCGTAAAAAGGAAGACGTTTCGAAACCTCAATCAAAGCCTCGGACAGACGGACCTAACAGAGGACCGAATGGAAGAGGAGAATTGAGGAGGCCATGGACCGAATACGGACCGGAGAGCCATAGAAGAAGAAGATGTGACATATATTACATGACATGATACACCTATTATTCACTTTCATTTTACAAAAGATTTTCCATATAGTAGTCAATCTTCAAAGTCTTCTGAAGTTCACTCCAATGGCATTTTAATATAGGAAATCAACCCCAAGTGAAATTTGTTCAGTATAAAACATTTATAACTAAATAATTACATCACAAACAATACAAAGTTTCTTACTCCTCGTTGAAAATGTCCCCACAGCGCTCCTATGCGTGTCGCACTGACTGCATAACCGCGCCGGCTCCATTCTTTGTCCGTGTCTTATAGGTATAATTTTTTTTTTATCCCTTGTGTCTCTCTTCATGATCGATGTTTCTTGCGATGAGCTGTTTGAAGCACCTGATAAACTTGCGCAGAATGAAGCCAAGCTTGCATCTTCATCTTCATCACTATAATACTCCACTTCATTCCTTGGATCATCATCAGTTGCTTCCATCTCACAGTATTCTGAGCAATCTGTTGAAGATCCTTCATTAATAATAATGCATCAAACTACAAACCTAATAGTAAGGTAATGGCTCGATGCTGGGATTGTAATTACTGGATAAAATTGTGATTGTGGTGGCGATAAATCACCGTTGGTTTAGAATATGTCAAGGAATGGTTAATTGTTCACTTGCACCAGCAGAATGTAGAATGAATGATACACTTTAACATACTTCTAACATGTGAAATGATTATTTAGTGTTCTGTCTGACGACAGGTCCATATGAACAGGATCCTTCCATCCTTCTCTCGGACTGGGACCTGTTCATATACGTTCTTGGCAGATGATCCAGAAGTGGTTTGCCATTGCCTTCTTCTGTGTGTGAATGGAGTAATTGTTGGGATGCCACGGAGGAAAACTCCGTGTTGCCTAGACCACGGCCTTGCCCAACACAAGTTATAAATTCGGGCACCGCCGGGAATCGAACCCGAGACCCCAGGATTGCAAGGCCAGCGTTCTAACCGCTGGACCACCGTGGCATCCTACTGACATTACGTCATTTCAATTTATGTTATTCTTTTTAAATATCTACAACTTGTAATTTTGAGTCGGTGCACCATATGATTTTAGGTGCCTCCGCCGAGAGATGCGCCAAAAAGCGTTAGGTCCAAAATGCACGGAAGCAGTATGCACCCCCATACTTTTACCCTTCCACAAGAAAACACAGTGAATTTCTAAAACTGGTTGTTTGCAAAACTCACCCCACAGCAAACACACAAAAGATGTCGTGCAGTCTTATACTACCATTCTTCTGCAAAACATTTGTTCTCTGCAGCGCTTAGTGAAATAGCCACATAATTTCTCTATCTCAAAAACCACAATGCAACAATTTTTAACCAGTACAGATCAATTAAAAATATTCCAATTATGTGCTGCACCCTAGTTAGAAGGGATGCAAATTTTTGGGGCGGGAAAAAAAATATGCAGCTTATATTCTGGTAAATAAAATGTTTGCAGATAATGAGCAATGCGTAGTAACACTTCTGAAAACAAAATTCACCTAAATATTACTTAAAGATTCAGTTCCTACCACAAAGAAAACATGATACATCTCCATTACAAAGGTCAGTTTGTTAATGCTGTTTAAGGAAATAATCACTTTATTTTCAAAATCACACAAAATCATTAAGACTTTATGGGCAAAATTCAGAGTTACAGATTACTAAAGCATGTACTACACATAGTTACCACTGGGCTTTAACGGGTTAAAGATCTCCTTAATTTTCCATCCAAAAGTTTCTGAGAAATTTAGAACTGTTGACGCACGAATTCACACATTTATTTGTTCTAAAATACGTAACTGATTCCTCCTTTCTTTCACCCATTCGTTCACGGATCACTCAACATCTGCGTATTATGGTTACATGTATTCATTATGAGGTAAACAACTTACTTTCACTTCCTTTTGAAAGAACGAGCCACCAATAGTATCTCTCGATCTGATTTCTTAGGAATGGAACTGTCTTCAGTATCTTCATCATGTCTGAGTTGGTACTGACAGATTTTAGACACAAGAGCTTCAAAGTAGAAGGAGAAGAAGAAGAGTATATGACTTTCATTGCAGACCTCGCAGCTGTCGAGCATAACATAGGGTACAGTGTTCGGCCCTGAAGCGAAGTAAAAGCCACTCCTAAGAGGGGAAAATGACAATAAGAACAGTCTCTTTTATGAAAGATTTTAAGCTTTCACGAGTAAACTCAATAAAGTCTTCTTGGGTCATCAGTTGTACGAGGCTCGTCCACAAAGTAAGTTTCCCTGGGGCCGTTTACAGAAACAAAACACAATTTCATGGAAATATTTATTGCAACAGATACAGCAAGTGTCCAGCTATTTTTCAACATATTCGCCACCGGAATTGAGACATTTGTCATACCGTGGGACCAACTTTTGAATACCTGTGTCGTAGAAGTCGCCCGCCTGGGATTGGAACCACTGTGTGACAACCATCTCCGCCTCTCTGTCATTCTCAAAACGCTGACACTGACCGGACAGGAATTTCTTGAGGTGTAGGAAAAGATGGAAATGACTGGGAGCGAGGTCCGGGCTGTAGGGTGAATGATCAAACACCTCCCAGCTGAACTCCTGCAGGAGACTGCAATATAAGGTTTGCTAGCTGTGGGACGAGTGGGAAACTTACTTTTGGGACGCGCCTCGTACCAAGCGTAATAATGGAGTCTCTGAAATGTTGGGCAACAATTATACCTGAGAAGATTTCTTTGTTCTTTTGAGAACCCGTAGATCTGCAGGCATGCACACGCACATGTGCCCAAATTCTTTTAGAATATACAAACATTTAGGGAATTTACATTTCATTACAACAGAAAAGTCAGCCTCAAAAATATATATAGTCAAAAAAAAAAGTTTATAAATGAAAATAATTTAATGGAATGTTACGAGATTTGGACGTTCATACGGCCGTAGATACCATACGAATGGAAAACTTACCAAGGGGCTTGCGATTTAAATAAAACTCGAGTGTCCCCTTCCACATATCCAGGTAGACACCAACGATGCTACCTTGACTATATGATGGACCATAAGCCTGCATTTTGCCTTCGTGTTGAATCGAACCTAATGAGAAACAAACAAAAACAAAAAAAACTGACTAGGGTTTAACGTACTGAGCCCCGAATTTCTGAAGCTCGTGGAAAGTACGTTGGGACAAACACAAACATCGCGGTCTCAAATAAATTTCAAGAGTTGTGATCAAGAAGTCAATGTAATGACGACACGTATTCTAAGCAGAATATTACAGACGGTATTCCGTGGAACCCAACTCTGAAAACCAGTCCACGCCTTTAGCACCAACTTCTCTAAGAACATTTCAATATAATTCTCTCACAAGCATTCTCATCCCTGGAGGTTTTCTGGCCAGAATTTTGTAGGCATTTCTCATTTCCCCATACAACCATCATAACCCTAGATACCACCTCGCCATTGTACCTTTTAATTTCCTACCAAAGTTACGCTACATACAGCCGTGGAAACCGGAAGCGGGAACAGCAAAAGCATCACTTAAACAAAGATTCCTCAAATTTTACTTGGTATATTGTGATTAATGTTATCTGGTCTCTTCTAATGCTCCGTTTACATACGTTTCAATAACGCTGGTCTGTACGACCACTGCGTGGTAAGAAATTTGACACGTACAGCCTCGAGTCATACTCACCAGGCACCTTGCTCATCAAACTGCGGCATTTTACAAAGGGTCCTAAATTGAAAACTAAGAACTGGCAGATCCACGTTCGTATCTATTTATACGAGGACGTTTCAAAAAGTAACAGCAAATTGACAATATTTCACGAAACGAATGCCCTAGGCATTTCAAACTCCCGCACAGGGAAGATACATTCTCAGAGAATGTTTTGACACTGCCCAATAAATGGCGTGGCTTACTTAATTGGATGGGATGCAAGTACGAAATGGCGGCGCCCTTAACTGTTTGCACCGTAGAGTAGCAGCGAGCAATCATCAGATTTTTGTGGTCGGAGGGTGTGAAACCTCGTGAAATTCATAGAAGAATGCTGCATTGGCGAGAGAAGAGTGTACGAGTGGGTAGATGCGTTTAAAAATGGGAGAACATCAATCCATGATGACCAACGCTCTGGTCGTCCATGATAACGCACGCCCTCACACCATTCGGAGATTGAGATTTCAGATCTTACAGCCCTGACCTTGCTCCCTCTGATTATCATGTGTTTGGACCCCTGAAGGACTCTTTGATTTGGGAATGATGACGCGGTGCATTCCTGGCTGAAGGCACAACCAAAAACATTTTTTTCTGATGGAATAAAGAAATTGGTGCGAGGGCGTGAGAAGTGTATTGAAAACGAGGGTGATTATACAGAAAAATGACATATCATTTGTGTCTCTAATTAAATTATATATCTCAAAATATTTAATTTGCTGTTTATTTTTGAAACACCCTCGTATAAGTATTTCTGAAAGCGCAACTCATCACTAAAATTTATATATCCGATATCAAACCACCCTACAGCTTCAAGTGACTGCAATGTGTTTTCTCAATTTGATTTTGCATTTTTCTTTTAGTTGGGTCATTCTGCATATCAATTTCACTCTTTAATAAGTCATTTTACTTTATCATATGCATATCAATATCATTAATTTCACCTTTATCAGTTCATATTAATGACCAATTGCCTTCTATCATTTTCTCTTCATTTCCTCGATTACTTTGTTTGAATTTCTTGAAGTGTGTGTATGCTTTAATATTCTTATTCAATTCTGTAGAATATTCATCAAATTCAGTCAAGTTTTTCATCTACTGCATTTGAAACTGCACTATGTTATGAAATGCATTATAATTCGTCATACGCAATTCTTAATAATTTTATTTAATTCATAATGTTTGTAATACAAAATACAAAAGTGCTAACGATAAAGGAGTTTTATTATTAGTGGCTCTTATTAAATCTGAAACTTACCATTGTACGAATATCCCCAAGATTCCTCGTCAGATCCCAATAAGCTGCAAAAATGGAACTGTGATGCCTCAAGGTCAACCTTGTCTGTACCCACACCAATCATCTAGGAATACAAAAACAGTACCGTAAAAATTACAGAAATCAAAGCATTTTTTCATGATAAACAGAATAATGTACATGTTTCATAATTCAATATGATGATCTTTCACCTCTGCTTAGGCATGTAAACGTGAGGCCAGTTACTCGGCTTTGGCTCCCAGAGGGCTGTTACGCCACGGATTATTATTATTATTATACACACTTATACCAATTCCACACAGCTCCATAAGCTCCAAACCCTGACATGGAAGTTAAGAATGTCACTTCTGCGCGCTAATAAAGGAAATGCCACTGTCATCAACATTACCAGTGACTGACAATACAGTGAGGTCCCTACTGAGCATCCCTACTTACAGATGGCTCCCTACAGACCCCACCGGGAAGACAAAGATCACTTTACAATTAAATTCAAAGACACAAGTGCAAGAAACAACAAAACATGACTTGTTGTTTACTAACATATTTAGTTTATTTAACAACGCTTTCAGCATCCCAGGGTATATAGCATCAAATACAAGGATGACAGCGAATAATGAATTGTAAATGTGGTCGCAGCCTAATTTAAGGTACTGGCATCTGCCTGGAGGGACTGAGGAAAACCATGAAAACCTCCTTCAGAACAGCCAGCGTCCAGGCCAAGATTTTAACCTGGGACTTCCCAAACACGAATCAGTAGTGATACTACATTCTGTAACATGATACTTGTCGAAACACGGCATTCCATATAAATGTTGTCACATTTTATTATAATACTAATCAGATATTCATTATTATGGGGCCTGAGAGTTATACACCACCACAGATAATGTTCTAGCCCTTACCACATCAGTCCCAAATAAAGGCGTAAGCACTTTTATCTCCCAATAATAAATATTTCCTCCAACACAAGGTCTGCTTCCTCGCACAGCTGCCGTTCCACAACTGTAGCAGGGATGAAATCGGACTTCTCGGCCCTCCAAGAACAACTGGGAAGCAGAACTTAGGGCTGAATTATCCCATACCCATTCATGTACTGCGATCAAGATATGAAGTTTATTTCACAAAAATGAACATAAACAGACTTTAATTCTATATTTAAATTATACTACAGGGATTAATATAGGTTTGGAAAGGCGGGAGGGCTGAGGGAGTGGGAAAATCAGAGATGAGGAATGAGGACGAGAAGGTACCAGGCCAAAATGTTAACATCTATCCACCAGTCTATACAGTGCCAAAACCCAAAAGATCATCATCCTCAAAACTCACAACGGTTAACCCACTTAAATATAATGGACAATAGCAGATTTGCAAGCAAACACATGGGAAGACGAGGAGGACTGTTTACTTTATCTGTGCAATCCTACATAAGATTTGAAGCTGAAACATACAGAAGTGATTTTTAAAGTTGGATCCTTTAACCCAAATATAGTACAGGAGTAGTTATTTTATGTAAAAACATACAGCCCATTTCATTTCATAAAGGAAATAATTTTATATCTTAATTCTTACAATAAAAACTTTTACAATTATCTCCAATATATTTTCTTTGAATTAAAACACAAAACTCATAAATACCGTTCAATTCTTCGCCACAAGAGCAAGACAGCCTTTTCCCCCCATCATCTTCATTATCTTTGCAGAAACAGAATGCTCCAGGCAGGCAGGCTCTTTCAACCTTTCCGGATGCTTTAACTCGAATAAAACTGCGCATTTTGGGAAGTCTTCTCTGAAAGCAGAACCTGTTTACTTCTTCACCCATTCAAAGAAACTACTAGTTTTTTTTTCCAAGAAATTTATAAGTAATAAAGTTCCTGTGACAATTCTCCTTTGTTGGTTAAATTATCCTTCCTCTTTCATATTACTGCCCAATCACCAGACAACTAAAGATGGAAGAATATAAAAAAGTTGTCAGTGGAACCACGGTTCCGGAGAATTTGACGTAAATACGTCTATAAGGAAAGGAAGTTTATATATTGGTTTTATTCTAAATATTTCCTTTATACATGCTTTACAATTGAGTAAAGTTTGATTAAGACATTGCTTATTTAACTTGAATTAGTTACGCTTAAGATGGCTCTGTGGTAGATGAATGTAATGTAAAGTAATGTAATGTAACTATGTAGGTAACCATTGTTGTTTATTTGTTGATAAACAGATGACATTTCCAAGGTAACATAACAATGAAGTTACACTTTTTCGTTTCCCTTTTTCGTAACACTTTTTTGCCGAATGACACTGACCCTAAAATATAGACGTATTTACGTCAAAATATTTTCTCTTTCCCATTCAATAAAAGCACTAATGTTTTTCATAGAATCAGTTGCATGCACTGTGTAGCTTATGCATTAGTACTTCATAACTTTGTGCACCAGGTTAGGGAATTGGGCAAGTTCACTGCTAAATCAGAGGTCCTAAAACTTTGCTTTTGTTCCATCACAAAAAGAAAGAGAAAATACGTTTAATAATTTAGTACTTCATAACTTTGTGCACCAGGTTAGGGAAGTGGGCAAAGTTCACTGCTAAATCAGAGGTCCTAAAACTTTGCTTTTGTTCCATCACAAAAAGAAAGAGAAAATACGGTTAATAACACTGCCAGATTGTATAGTCTAAATTCCATATGACCTGACGTCTAGACTTATACCCCACGGCTACAAACAGTGGACAAGCCGAATCCATTACCCCCAAATAACAATGGTAGATGACAAACAGCCTACAAAAACATTTCCTACCATGGAACACTTTTTAGATTGGTAAAACGGTTTGCTAGCATAAAAATTGCATCTGTTTGGCACTACATAATAATACAAACTGAAGAAATTATTCAGTGACCTTATCTCAATTTATACATAAATACACACGCAGTTATGTTGTAGAATCAATGCCCCTTTATTTAGGTTATTTAAACTGCTTATTCAAATATGTTTTCAACCCAACCACAGCCCCATTCTTCCATACTTGCCCTTTCATTGTCAATAACCAGTCCCGTATTATAGAACGATTACAGTTAAGATAAGTTAAGCAAGCAGCAAACAAACACGAAGTTTGGACGTGAAACCACCCTGACCTTATCAAATTAATGAATATCATTAAACAGCAAATGTTATTATGTTCACATAACGTAACCTATAAACCGTGCTATCTGTAACTGTAATCTGTATGCTTACATAGTAGTTCCCAAAATTCTTACAACATATAGTTGGCTTCAACAATTATCGTAACTACTATATATACACACAGCAGCAAAATCAAAACATTCAAAATTAAATTCTTCTCAAACATAGGTAACACATATTTCAGGTATTAACACTGACAAACCACACAACACTCACCACGCACTCCGCAACCCAACCCACACAGATCACTGGTAGGAAAGCGATATACGCGCATGCGCAGGATTTCGCGGTGAGTGACGAGCTGCTACTGACCAACCTAAAAGCATTCGTTCCACAACCACTGATGAAACAACAGACAGGCTTTCGTGTGTTCTAATGGATACAGCTTTAAGATTACCTCACAGCGGCCGAGCGAGCTCGGAGTCAGAAAAGTTAGTTGCTTCTTCAGACTCAACATCTTCACAAGAAGTCTCTTCGTCATCGCTACTGTCAATTGGATTGGAAATAATTATTGAGTCGATCACGTCAGCAACAACCCCGTCCCGTTCCCAGTATTGTTGTTCCACATGTTGGCAGTATCCTTCCCAGTCCTTTGCAGTCACAGTTGTAATCCCTTCTGTTGTTAAATCCAACAGCCGCTCAAAGACGTACGTAGTTTTTTTACCATAGGCCATGCTAGTTCTATTGGGCTAAGGTCACACATATATGGAGGCAACCTAACTACGATGTGACCATGGGCGTTTAGTAATTGATCAATTTTGATTTTTTTTTATTTTGGTTTCCTTGTCGGTATTAGGTCATACAGTTGGCCTTTTCTCATAGCTGGATCACAGAAAACTCCGTGCCGCTGTAACCATGAGATCATTTCAGATTTAACCAAATATTTTGATGGGGCTTTATCTGCTTGTACACTGTGGTATGGAGCGTTATCAAGTACTACCA